AAAAAAAAAAAAAAAAAGACCCAGATATGATCTGGCCCCTCCTACATGTCTGGCCTCATACCTTCCCACCCACCCACTTGTTTGCTACGGTACCATGGCATCATGACCTTGTGTCTAATCTTCAGCCAAACCAAGCTCACTTCTGCCCCATGGCCTTTGCATGTGCCATTCCTTCTGCATGGAATGTTCTGTCTTCCATATCTTCTCAGGTAGGTTTTTTCTCATCACCCAGGTCTCAGCTCAAATATCATCTTGGAAAGAAAGGTCTTCCCTGACCACTCTATCTGAGGCAGCAGCCCTGCCCAGACATTCTCCAGCCCATTTATTTTCTTCCTGGTATTCACACCTGTACGAAATTTTTAATTTTTTTACATGTCTCTTGTCTGTCTCCTTCTACTAGAAAGTAAGCTCCAGACAGGCAGATGCTTTTTGTCTCCCTTGTTCATTGGTGCACTCCAGACCCTAGAATCGAACCTGACAAAAAAAAATCTGCATTCAATAAATGTGCTGAATGAATAAATAATTAAGGGAAAGGTTCCATCTCTGTGCAGATGTCTTAGGTGTTGTTTTACAGTTACAGTGGCTCTGATGAGTAGAAAGCATTTCTTTTTCTTTTCAAAGCATCCATTTGTTCTCTTTTATGTGATGAACTAAAAAACATTAGCCAGATTGAAGCCTGAAAAATGAAAACAGCACTTCTGGCACAGAAGTAACTAGTCTGGGCACCTCTGGCTTGAGCGAGATCTATGACTTTCTAGGGAGCTGGCACCAAAGTCAAAATGTTAAACATCTTTGATGTTGAGAGTGGAATACTGGTATTTTGAGTCTGGAGGGACTAGTCTCAATCGGTCTTAGCTTTTCACAAAATTCCAAAAACATTTAGTAACCCCATCACCACTGTATCAAAGTGAACACAGTCATCTTTCAATAGTCACTTCTAGATTGCCTAGGGATGGGGCTATCTTCCTCAAATGTATCTAATGTAAATCTTGCTTTCAATTTCTTTTTGACATGATTCTCTCTTACTTACCAATGAATCTTGTTTTCAGTTTTCTAATGGGTGAAAGCATCATCTTATGTGCTTCATTAAACTCTTCTTTAGAGGTGAAAATAATGCTTTTAGCCCACTTTGCCTTGTTCTCCTCATGGAAATGAGTTTGCACTAAACCACACAGATGTGTCCTGGCTAGTCAATATTTGGAATAGGGTCATAGGGCAAAATGTCTTCTCTGTGTAATATTTAAAGTTAAGAATTCTGACCTTGGCTTCTAAAGCCTTTGCCTGTACACGCAAGAGCAAATGTGCTCTTGAGCTTGCAGGAACATTTCTACATACTCACCACTGAATTTAAGTGAACCTCTAGAGAAAATACTGGACTCAACTCCATTCCATCATCAACATAACAAAATTACACAAAACACACTGAAAATTCAAGGCAGCCCAAAGCAAAAGCCAGTGTTAGTCACAGTTTTCATTAAATAAATCTCATTGCTGTTTAAAAAAAAAAAAAGTTTAATGAAAATGTGTATTTTAAAATGCTGATTTCATGAGATTAGCCAGCCTGTACCCCATAAGAATTAAATCCAACTACCTCAAAGTGGTACCTGAAATAGTAGCAAACTTTCTTTTTCTTTTTCTTTTTTTTTTTAATAGACAGGGTTTCACCATGTTGGTCAGGCTGGTCTTGAACTCCCGACCTCAGGTGATCTGCCAGCCTTGGCCTCCAAAGTGCTTGGATTACAGGCATGAGCCACCACGCCCGGCCAGCAAACTTTTTTTTTAACCATGAAAGTGTATCATAAGGATGGCCTCTACCTACACAAAACTAATGGCATACGCATTCATGAACTATGCCCAAGGGGTGAAAAGCCAAAAAAAAGAGGACTATTATTATGTCCATAATATTATTATGTTACTACAACACCTGATAAAAATGATGACAAGAGGTTTACATACACTATCTTCTTTAATCTTCATAATACCCAAACTTGTGAGGTAAGTTCTATTGTTATCCCATTTTACAGATTAGGAAACCCAAGCACAGAGAAGTTAAATAACCTCTCACAACCTAAGAATTCCTGACTATAAAGCAGCAAGAGATTCAAACTCAGGTTGCTTTATCCAAAGCTGGAACTCTTAACAATAAACCAGTAACAGGCAAGTGATATATATTTGTTGAAACCTAGTTTAAAAGTATTTGACCACAGGCTTTTATATTCATGCATACTTAAAAAATGCATACTGGCCACGCATTTGGGTTACAGATTCATGCCTGTAAGCCCAGCACTTTGGGAGGCTGAAGCAGGAGGATTGCTTGAGTCCAGAAGTTCAAGACCAGCCTGGGCAATGTAATGAGACCCCATCTCTACAAGAAAAAAATTTTTTTTTTTTTTTTTTTGAGACGGAGTTTCACTCATGTTACCCAGGCTGGAGTGCAATGGCGCGATCTCGGCTCACCGCAACCTCCGCCTCCTGGGTTCAGGCAATTCTCCTGCCTCAGCCTCCTCAGTAGCTGGGATTACAGGCACGCACCACCATGCCCAGCTAATTTTTTGTATTTTTAGTAGAGGCGGGGTTTCACCATGTTGACCAGGATGGTCTCGATCTCTTGACCTCGTGATCCACGCGCCTCGGCCTCCCAAAGTGCTGGGATTACAGGCTTGAGCCACCGTGCCCGGCCGCAAGAAAAAAATTTTTAAATCAACTGGGTGTGGTGGTGTAAGCCTGTCGCCCCAGCTACTTAGGAAGCTGAGGCGGGAGGATCTCTTGAGCCTGAGACTTTGAGGTTACAGTGAAGTTTGACAGTGTCACTACACTCCAGCCTAGGTGACAGAGTAGGACCCTGCCCCAATATTTTAAAAAAGGAAAAAAAATGCATACAAAATCTATCTACTCTTTGTTCCCCATCATCCAACTAGTGAAGGTATAATTAGGTACAGGCAACAGACTACCAGCAATTTGAGAGCAGAAAATATTCTTTTTTAAAAATATCTTTAATACTTTATAGTTTTCTACCAAAAAAAACAGAGCCAGAGAACCTCAGGCTAAGTAAGGCTCCTCCAAAAAAAGGAAATCAAAGCAGGTAGGACAAAGACAGCCAGGGTGAGCTACTAACCAAAGTATGTCACAGCTGAACATTCTCTCCTGGTAACTGTTCTGCAGTGCCGCTCTAAGCACTGCAGTGCTGCCAATATGAAGTCTGAGCTCATGAATGCTGTGCTGCAAAAGTAACCAACAACCAAATAGGAAAAGCTTCACTTTTCTCTACTGATTTTATTCATCCCAGGATCCCACTCTACAAGGTTTGAGAGCTAACAGAATTTGGGAAAGGGCCAGCTTAACCACTTAGTATTGAATGGAGTGCAGTATCCTACTCAATAAATGAGGTTTACTTTAGTCTCTTAGTCCTTGGAATGGGTCACATGTGTTTAAAAAAAAAGGGAGGGGATCATAATTATTTCTGATGTTCAGAAAATACCTATTACCTAACCTCCTTCAGCCAACACAAGTATCATCTGAATTACCTCTGTCTGTCTGTTATTTATAAGAACACCCAGACCATTTCCTACAAGCGGGGAAAAAAATCACACACCTCTAAAAAACAAATCAACAAATGATACATTCTGGAAATAGATGGGGAAAAAAATAACTCTCTGTTTCCAAATGACCCTTCTGCAGAAGTAAGATAAAGGCTGCAGTGCATGGGGAGAAAGAAATCAACCTGGGTTAACTGAAGCAGCAGTTTCAGCAACTTGTAATACCTATGTACCTTCCCCACCATTATATAACCAAACCATAACCTTAATAGGCCATCATACTGTATGTCAACAGCTGTTAGGCACATCTAAGCTGTCAGCATTTGAGAAACCCTTCCAAAGTGGATTCAGAGGAGCATGGAGCAAGCCAAGATATGCTCATGGTTCACCCAGAGCACATGACAACTCCTTGTGAATTAAGCTTCACTCATGTAGTCCGAGTAATTTAAGCAGCAAAAGATACAGCACTTGTAACTGTAACTAGGAAATTGCACACTGTTACAGAAACACAAATGAATGCTGGTGTGGTTCCCTCACACATGCAACTCATTGTCCAAGCCATTTCAGTCTCATTCAAGACTTTGAATATTTCCATACATGGGAATTGCATAACTGCACACCACAAATGATCAAAGATAAAAACCAACATAAACAGTGACACCCGTTTGTAAACACGCCAATGTTTAAAATGTTGCAGTCCTAAGGGATACCAAGGTCTCAGAGAAAAACTATGAAAAACACACGTACACATACACACACACACATGACAATGAGAGAGCGGCCAGACCAGCCATAATTAGGCACCGGCTTTGCTGACTACTGAAGATAGAAATGTCTCTTTTAGATTAAAGCCAACAATCAACTGTTTGCAATTACATTTACAAAAACATTCAACCCTGTCTGTAACAGATTTTATCAATATTTTGGTGTATCCAAGGGCTGGAAAATTCAAAATTCTTTAAATCATGAAACCATAAACCAGGCAACCAATTAAGTTCATAGAGACTATCCCCCAGAGGTCAGAGCAAAATAACCACAGGAGCCCAAAGTGATTACACAGAACATAAGGAGAAAAAAAAAAGGAAACAGCACAACAAGGAACAAGGCATATTGTTTGTAAATAGAAGTTTGCCTTGGCTGATAGTAAACTAGACTGGAAACACGGTGAGGGGCCCGGTGGCAAGTAAGGAAGCACACCACAGTCTTGGCTCAATCGACTTCCCCCGACTTCCCCTTAGGGTCTGAGGGAGCCCTGGACTTTCGTATCTCATCCAGCTCTGACCTGCAGACTTGAGGCCCTGTGATAAAAACGGGCAAAAAAGGCTGAAGAGGGCCCTCCAGAGGAAGTGAAACTGACCAATCAATTCGCCACAGCCACCCACCCTGACACACTGGTAAGAAGGGCCCCTTGCAGCCTTTGGCAGAAAGATGGTGGGGAAGGAACTTCAGGTTGCAAGCTATCAGGAGAGAAGGCCTAGATAAGTCACTGACTTCGGAAAACCAGCCACGGCCATAAAAGCAAAAACAAGGTAGGTCATGATAACCAGAGGCTAGGCTGAGGAGGTGAAGGGGACTGATGTGGCTTTGGTAAGAGGCTGCAGCAACTGCAAGCGTTCTTCATTCCTCAGGTTGAGGGAAAACACAAGCTGCAGTTTCAAACATAATGAATGAATACATTAAAAGTATTCATTCAGGGGAGATATTGAGCAAAGAAAATTCTGGAGTAAAAATGGGCTTTGCGGGTTCCACCAAAACCAAAAGATTCCTCCTGATGTCTCAGATTCCAATCCTCCCAATGAAGGCTACATGAAAGTGCTACCATATTTCCTCAAAGAAAGAATTTTACATGCATACATGGATAGCTTCCTAATTGACCTTGGCCAATCCCACTCCTACGGTGCCTCAAATCCCTTTAAGAACCTAAGGGCTCCACGAGTGTAATCTCCCGGTGTCTGGGTTCTTCAATCACAAGCTTCCCCCCTCGACCAGTGAAAGCCCACCCTGGGTTCTACAAAGCCCACTATTCCCGACCCTCCAACAACTAAAAATAACCAGCAATCAGCTCCCCCAAATTGTTTAACCCCTGATTACCTAGTGCCCTTATAAACCTGGGACACCCCCCCACCCCCAGTCCAACTCCTCCATTCCCTGGGCCCCTTCCTGTGGACAAGCAAAGCAATTTCCCCCTATTTCCCCATTTTCCTCACTGTGTCCTCCACTAATCGTGTCTCTCCTCGGGCTCCCCTTCGCACCATCTATCAGTCTTAGACGATCAAATGCGGATTCCTATCTTTGCCTTAAGGCACCAGGATCCTGAGACCTCCCAGCGCCCTGCAGCCGTGCACATCCCCAGGTCGTGCCCCAGCCGTCCTGGGTCCCCTCACAAGCCCGGGTCTGCCACTTCACCCTGGTCTTCCCCCATCCTCCTGGTCCACATTTCGTATGCCCCTGCCCTCATTCCCTTAGGACTTCCTAGCTGCTGGTTCCAGAGACTTCTTGCTTTACAGTCTCCCCGCCCTCGGGGAGTTCCGACCCCTTCTTTCCGATCACCCCCTTTACCCCCCTGCCCTCAACCCCGAGCACCCTCCCCGCGCCCGGCTCCCGGGCTCCCAGGGCCGGTGCTCTGTGGCCCCGGCCCCCTGCGTGGAGTTCCGCCGTCTCGGGTCCCAGGTGTCCGTCCCTAGCTCCGCGCCCGCCCCGCCGCGGCCGGCCCCCTCCCGCCTCCCCGGCCCCCAACGCTCCCACCACGCGCCGCGCTCGCTGTCCCGACCCCCCGGCTGGGGGCGCGGACCTCTCCCGGCCCCGCCACGCTCCGACGGCCGCCCGGCCCCGCGCCGGTACCTTGGTCTTGGTGACGAGGTGCGTGGCCCGCTTGACCACCGCGAAGTTGCCCTTGCCGATGGTGCGGTCGATCTCGTAGTATCCGATGCGGGCGGGCATGGGTCCGCGGGAGGCCGGGGCTGGGGGACGCGGCGGGCCGGCCGCGGGGGACACGGCAGCGGGGGCGGCCGGGGGCCCCGGCGCGGGCGGAGGCAGCAGGCGGCCCGCGGGCCCGGCTCCCCCCGTCCCGGCCCCGGCAGCCCCGCCAGCTCCGCTCGCCGCCGCCGCCGCCATCTTGTTGTGCAGTGAAACCTCCGGGGCCGCGGGGAGCCGGCTCGGGGGAGGGGGCAAGGGGGGGCGGGAAAGGGGGGGCCGCGGACGTCACTCGGGGAGGCGGGGCGCCCTCGCAGCCCGGCGCCCGCCGCCATGGCAACCGCGGGTCACGTGCCGACGCGCGTCACTGCCCGGAACCATGGCAACCGTGACCTCACCGGCGGGCTCGACCTTCCCGCGTGGGCCCGGGTTCCTGAGGCGCTGGCTCCCGAGTGCCCCCCTCCGGGAGCTGGCGGTGGGAACCTCCGGTGGGCCCCCAACCTCGAAGCCTCCGCCGCCTTTCCCGAGTCGGGGGCGCAGGATCCCCGACCCACAGCCAGCCCCCCACCGCCGCTGGAATCGCCAGTGTGACCTCTACTGTGACCTCTGTCCCAGTTCAACGATCACCCAACCTCCCTTAACAAAAAAAGTGTTTCCTCGTCACCAAAAATACCAGCGTTGTCCCACTTTAGCCCTTGAGGCCACAAAGGCAGGAATAGCTACACTTTTTAAGCAACTGTAACCAAGTTGGTAACAACGCAAGGGAATTCTTCAGTAAAATTCCTCCCTCTTATAAAATCCAGCTCACCCTGTACAATCAACCTAATTGTCACCGAATATAGGAGAATGGGGAAAGGACTTGCGTGTTCAAGGGCGGAGAAGCCAGTCCAAACAGGCATTCCAGTC